CTTTCAGCGAGTACCTAGAAGGTTAAAGAATTGATTTGGCTAACAATAACTAAAATTCTTCAGAAGATATAAAAAAATGTCAAAAGATATAACTTCTTCGCGTACTCTAATATTGGTACTAGTGTAACTATAAACTATTATTATCATAAATGGACGCTCGCGTTTGGCTGAACCGATTTTGACGCGGTTTTCAGGAAAGTATTTTTAGTATTAGCATGAAATAAATACTTTAAAATATAGAACAAACTTAAAATTAAAAAAAAAGTGAAAAATTATACTTTTATCAAAAGCGGCTTATTCAAGAAGTATTATTACTATTGACATCGGGCGCCTATCATTTAATTAATAACCAACAGAAAACCTCACGTACGACGTTAATTGCATTTCTTGAATAAGTTGATTCAAGTCGGTGATTTCTATTGTTTAAATGATAATCGCTCAACGCGGTTCTATATTTGGAAATAAAAACACATTATTTTTAGTGATACTTATGGTGAGTTACACAAACGTCCATTAGGGTTTAATGAATGTCAAATTTGTATGGGTAATGTCACTTTTAACTAATGACAATTTTAATGGACGTTCGTGCAACTGGCAGTTAGAGGAATGGATACAAGTATATAAATATTAACAGCTAGTTTGATGGAAATTGGTTTAAAATCCACTAAGATATCGGTGAAAATACCTACTTGCATATATACATACCCATTGTACAAAGGATTCCCTCCTTTCGGTTTTTGAATGAATGCAAAGTAAGGTATCTGTTGTTTTCAACATAAAAATAAAAATATTTCGATAATATCTATATCTTCGATAAAATTTAAATAGGACCACTTCGGCCCATTAAGTTGTCGAATCAAAAACATAGCCTCTACACAACGCCCCAATTTATTTTTCTGGCTCTCATACTGCCCCTATTTAGGCCTGCAGCGCCCACGAGGGGGCGTTACCGCCCAATTTGGAAAAGGCTGGTCTAATACATAGCTGCGATAAATGGCTAAAGGTACTGACAGACTGCTCATTAGTGGCATGCTAAATAATCGCTAAAAAACAAGTTCAGAATGAGTTTTAGGCAATTAGGCATGCTCACGAATTTGTGTTTCTGACAGCCAGTTGCACAAATGTTTATTAAAATTGACATTAGTTTAATACCACATTACCGATACAAATTTTCAAATTTCTAACATTCATTAGAGCTTAAAGTTGTCATTAAACCTTAATGGACGTTTGTGCAACTGACCGATAGACACTTATAACTTGGATAATAGGTTACAAAAAGCATGTGACAATAGGCATACTCGTAAGCAAACCAGTTCAGTCGAGCTTGAAGCGCACCCTCTTCCACCCGTGCCTTAGGAAAAATGCTCGAAAATCAAACGGGTGTCGATTTTTGAGCATGCTCATTACTGGCAACGTTACGAAACACTTGCGATTAATGAGCATTGATCATTAGAAGCATACTTTCGTGCTAATAAAGAGCATGCCTGTCTGTACCTTAAAGTAATTAATTTTAGAGATAATGACGTTAGTCTGGCAGCGCCACGCTATACCCTCTAAACCAGTCTTTCTCAAAGTGGGCGATAACGCCCCCTTGTGGGCGCTGCAAGCCTAAAGGGTAAGAGACCATAAAAAAAAACTGGGGGCGTTGTGTAGAGGCTTGGGGGTGGGTGATTTGTAAATTCATTTTGCTAGGAGGCCTCTTAGACACCGACTGCATGAGCTCTTAACTACAACTTGTAAAAATCAACTATTATTAAATTAGAGATTGCCCAAACTCTGTTCGCTAATTTAATTCTCTCCGCGTAGGTCATATATCTATCCTATCTTATTGAATATATAAAATAAAAATCATGATAATCGATGGCTCCGTTTCAAATGAAAGTAGACACAAACAAACAAATAAAAAGGCAACAGACACACTTTCGCATTTTAATAGTTATTATACTCCTAGATAGGTAATTTTCGTAGACAGCAGGCAATCATATTTTAACAAGTTTTTGTTAAATAACCCGAATTGTGCATTCCTGTATCAATCGGCTGGTTCATATAATAATTCTTCTTATTTGTTGCGTACGAGTAAACGTCGAGTGAGATAAATGAATTAATGCATGTTTGTTTTATTCCTGTCGGTCCGTGCTGTTTATGCAATCTTATTAAACAACGTAATATTTATTTTATTTGTATTTGCGGTTTCGCTCATAATAGATAAGCACTACCCACTTAAGTTCAACACTTACCTACTTACGTATTTCACAAAACAAAACAATGTCGCAAGTAAAAAAGAGACAACAATACTATGGGGAATATATTAAATTCGGATTCATTGAAAATCCCACAAACCCGTCGCCTTTGTGCTTTCTATGTCTAAAAACATTTTCGAATGACCCAAAGAAGTCTTCAAGACTGCAAGATCATTTGAATAAAAAGCATCCAGATAAGAAAGCCAAGTATTAAGCATATGTTCAAGACGTAGAGAAAAAGCATAATAGTCAGCTAAGTGTTGCAAAACTATTGCGGCGCTTCTAAGCAAGATGACGACGAACTTCGTGCTTCATACAATATCTCTTTGTTGATTACTCAAAAGAGCAAGCCACATAACAAATTATCCGAAAACTTTCTTTGAGTAATAATTCCGTGCAAAGACGAAGTGATAAAATGATTAAAAACATTCAAGGATCATTGTGCGATTATCTGAGAACAAGCCCACCCACAATTCAACTCGATGAGTCCACTTTACTAACTAATGAAGCATTATTGCTGTCTTACGTGAGGTTTATTATAGATGAAAAAATAAGTGAAGAACTATTGTTTGCTAGAAATTAGAGACCGATACAAAAGGCAAAAGCATATTCAATACATAGAAGAAGTTTTGTAATGAGAAAGATATAAAATATTACAAAAATATTACATCAGTTGCTACGGATGGGTCTCCGGCTATGATTGGGTGCCATAAACGTTTTGTAGCGCACTTAAAATATCATACGTGGTGTTGGATCCGTTTTTAAATGTCAACACAGCAATTTCACCTCAGCGGGAATAATAACTTATAGAACTGATAACAAACGAGAAAATTAAAATCAAGTTCAAAAATGGTTATCTAGAATTAGGGGTACAAAAACCGATCCCGCAATTGTACCCTGGACTGTGGTCAATCGTTCAACAATCATCGATAGTATTCCCATCGTCATATTTATGTGAACGTGGATTTAGTGCTGTGGCAATACTGTTTGCTAAAAAGAGAAATCGTTTGCATAATACCGAACGTGGCGACCTGCGACTGTTCATGAGTAAATTGGAACCTGCCCTGCGATTCTGTAAAAATCCAAACCCGTGGCATAAGTGAGGGTGAGTTTCGAAATGACATAGAAATAAAATATTTGTGACACGTATATTCAATCAATTTTGTATTTTTATACAAAAAAATAAAAATTGTAAACTAAAGGACGTGAATTCCGACACAAGAGTGAATTCGAATTCGGATCTGGATTTTTAAAGAATCGCAGGACGATATCAATAGACTTATTAAACAGCCTCAGATTCATCCCTTCACATTAGTTTTTATATAATCAATTATGTGTGTTTTATTTTGAATAAAAGATACTCTGTTTGAATGCTATAAAGTTGCGTTTTAATAATCATTATCATAGGCAGGTGTAGCCCATAAAAGTTAACTTAAGACCTCAGCGCTGTTATTTTAATCTCTGCTAATATAGCTTACAATAATTAATTAAAGTGGCAGTAGACAAGATAAGTTTGGGAACCTGTTCTAAACTAGCACTCTAGAAGCTCATCTCATAGGTTCATCAAAAAATGAAACTTCTTAGATTCTCAGAGTATGATGAAGTGGAATAAATTACGCAAATGACATCAACAAACAGTGTTTTACCACTATGTTGATAGTCAGTTGGAATATGTACCAATAGAATGCTCTAGTCTCATATTATTGTGACGAAATTCTGTTGTAACGTGATCAAACCTAAAATCGTAATAATTATGTATGAATGTGTAACGCCTGCCAATTTTACCTTCAGTAGTTTGCTTTCTGCTGATAAAACTCAGCAGACGTAATACATTTAACTATGATCCATATTTATTCAGACAGAACGTTTGATTAGAAAAGTCAAGAGCCGTAAAATACTTCGTGATTCTTAATATTTAATGCAAAGATTATTAATCAACTACCTGCATTCTTAAAAAATACTTCGAAATAAAATTTATCATGTAATATTATTAACACGACTTGGAATGACTGTTCGAACCAGGGTAGGTAAGAAAGTTGTCAAATTTGAGACTAAAATTGTATCTGTCTAGTACAAAAAAAAAGTGGAGACTTCAAAAAATAGGTTCTCAGTTTGAGCATACATACTAGCATTAATGTGTGATTATCTCGCGTTTGGCAGAACCGATTCTGATGCGGTTGTCAGCATAATTTGCTTGCCGCCCCGGGACTCCCGTGGGGTTAATCCGTCACTAGTGCAACGATCTATAGCAGTGATTTTCTAAGTGATCCAGGTGGCCCCTCAAGGGTCCACGAGGGATTCAACAGGGGTCTTCGTTGGCACGAAATAAAAACAGGTCGCCAATTTTTTATCGTTAGATCTTCATATTTTGAACGAATTTCGGAAATATGGTGAAAAATGTAGCAGCGGGGGTCCACTGAAACCAGTAAATTTTTAAAAATGGTCTACGAGAAGAAATTGTTCGGGAACCTCTGATCTAGAGTTCTGTGCTGAGGCGTTATAGGAGTCTGAGGCCAGACATTCCGTGCGAAAACACGCAGTTTAAATAATTTATAACATGGTCATTTAATTTTTGTAGCATGTAAACTAAAATATTCGTTTCTTGATGCGAACATATTGACATTGAACACAAACCTCGGTGGTATTTTGCTTGTAAAAAAATAATTTGTAAACTGTTTGTAACTTTGTTATTAAATAAATACAAAATCCGAAAAAGGGTGGCACTGTCACACTAACGTACACCATTGTAGTTTATGGGCAATAAAGAAAATAAAATTATTTCACACAGGTAAAAAGAAATTTATTACTTTTCTGAGAGTGTTTAAGTTACAGCACTAACAATTTAATATTATGCAAAAAAACCTTGGTTATATCATGCAACTGTACAATTTCATTAATAAAAAAAAATCGACCGTAAAAAATACATGATTCTCTTGGGGCATTGGAACCTGCGTATCATTTCTCAATGTATATAGGTAGATTTAATTGCACAACAATATCACGATTTCCCATACGCGATAAAATTTTGATCCTCACATTGTATACGAAACTTTTTTATAAATTTTAATCTGTTTTAAAAACTTCTCACAATGTAATGGTATACAACAAAAATACTGCAAGTACAAATATTAAATAATACAATATATTAATTTAATAATAATTAAATATATCACATCTTTGATCCATGATACCTTTGCAGTTCCGTTTGTATGAATGGATTTCCATCAAAGCTATACGAGGAAGCAGAGTGGCCGCTGTCTAGCCGCCAATAGAATAACAATTTTACTGGAAAAAAAAAGTCATCCTTTCTGATTTCTCGCAGTTTTGGTGGAATACCACAGCATAATTCCCCCTGAATTGAACATACCGATCAAGACAAAATAATCGATGTTAAAATACAAAGATCTTCAATGTCTGCAACATGGAAACGAAACACTCATCAGTTGAACAGACAAGACAGTAAGTTGAGATGGACGTGTGGCACAACTAGAATTAACATCTACTACATTAAGGGGTGTGCCACACAGTGCGGCGACAGGTGTTTAGGCCTGGCTCTCATTTGTAGTAGTTTCAATTGTGGTGCCAGAAGGTTTGCTGTTGTTTTTGGGCTTGGCCTGCTGCGGTGGCTGTGGTGAAGACGTAGTGGCCGGTGCATCACCCTCCTGCCCATTCTGGCGTTGGCCCTGGTTCTGGCCGGCGGGGGCCTGGGAGCCCTGCCCCGGGCCCTGGTTGCGCGGCCGCATACGGTACCCACCGCGATTCATCGGCCCCGGGCCTCCACCACGACGGCCTCCGCGGAAGTTGCGGCGGAAGTAGCTGCATCAATAAATTATAGTCCCTTATTAGCAAGGCAAATAATTACTATGCAGTGTTCTTTGCATATGGCATGTATAAATTTGTTATACACTTGAAATATACACAGTTAACAGAACCCAATGAACTGTTACACAAGATTTGTGAGATAAAGTTTGTTTCCTGTTCATTTATCTATATTATAGCACTTTGCTCTAACTTCAAATTGATGAAAACTGCAAGTCATTTACTAACCTACGCTGTGGTGGTGCTCCTCCTCCCTCCTGACCCTCGTCTCCCTGTGCACCCCCCTGAATGGCCGGGGGCCCACGACGACCCAAGCGACCCCTACGTGGAGCGCCTTCGCCGCCACGTCCGCCGCCTTGACGGGGATAATATCTGGAAAAATATAATGGTCAAATGCTTGGTCTATTTAGTTACAAAATGTCATAATTGCAATATGATGATAAATAATTTCAACCCATTTTACCTAATTAAACCGATAGGATGTCAATGAGATAAATTCATATACTCACTGGCGTTGGAAACCGCGGCGTTTGTCAGCTGCATAGGGCGAGCCCTTCACTGGCTCGCCACCGGGACCCGTAACTCCGGCTGCTTCATAGCCTTTCTCCCCGGCGACCACGGCAAACTCCACCGCCTCTCCGTCGCCGACCGAGCGCACAGCCTTGCGAGGGTTATTGCGGGCGATCGCAGTTTGGTGAACAAACACATCCTCCTTAGTGTCGTTCCTGGCATTATTATTATTTGTTTGTTACTATCAAATGTAAAAAATGCAACTACCTGCTTACTATTTTAAACCTAATGTTATCTCTTTTCATGTTAATCTAAATTTAATTGGCTTTTATATTATAGTTATTGCCCAAAAGGAAAAAAAAACTTTAATTCACATTTATATCAGACAAAGACAAAGCAGTATAACAAAAATCTTCAATTTTCAAATTCCTAAACTACTAGTAATTACCTATTGATGAAACCATATCCACTCTTAACGTTGAACCATTTTACAGTGCCCGACACCTTCTCAGCTGAAACAACAAGTAATATTTACCATAAGTATACAAATATTGTAAAGATATGGCTTGTTTATTTTAAGCTACATACAAATTCTCAAATGAGCAAGTAAAAAATGACTCATGACTAATCATAAGTATTCCAACAACATTTTAAAAATCTAAAATCATTATTCGGAATGTTATATAACTTTGATGTAATGATTTTTTTCCATTTGAAACATACAATTGTATGAAATCATTATAAGTGATTTTTATTAGCATAAAGTTTTGTGTGCATAATGTGTCATAGTTCAGGCTGAATTCTTCTTTATGTATTCCAAAGATCTCTGTAGACTTTCCTTGAATATGAATGTATCACAAATCAAATTTTTGTGTACAAATAAATATAATAAAGTTTAATTTGTCTGTTACTACTATGTGTTAATCACTTTTTTAATATACACCACTTAATTGTCCAGAACTATTCTTGATGACTTCAGACACTTGTGAATTTTAGAATGTTTGTGCTAATATCATTATATTTGTGTCTTGTGCATGCAGAAACCAAAAAATGAAAGTTCATTCTTATTATAAATGGGGGTAGAATGCATTTTCAGACCAAGTTATTGGAGTACATCAAAAATTTCATTTTTTTAAATATATAACTAATATTTATTTGCCTATGTTGATTACCGCTTTATTTTACATTTAAAGAAAGGTAAATTCAGTTTGAGCAGAATATTTGGTTTGTATAAATATTCAATTATTATTCTATATTTTAATAAATAGACATGTATTAAAATGAAGAATGTTATCACAATTGTGATAAACATTCGCAAATGCCTAAATATTATTAATTGTCATTATACCAATCAACTATAAAAATTTAAAGTTAGCCAATTACATTTTAACTACAAAAACTATTTTGCAACCAGATAATCTCATTCAATTTGAATACCAAAAAGGGTCAACCAGACTAGATTACTTATTTGTCGTCTAACAACTGGAGCCTTTAACCCATATTATTATATGCCCCATGATTTCAATATAAAACAAATAAACCCCTTCATACCCAGAAATATTTTACTTCAGCAACTTAAGAATTTTAAAATGAAATCAAAGCAAAGTTTGCACTGATTCATTACCAAAATCTGTTCATTTTTATAATAGATGGGGGTAGAATGCATTTTCTGAGGAAACATGTAAGATTATGTATTCACAAAAACGTGATTGTTGTTTGGTTTGGTCAAATCAGGGCGCGTATATAGAACCAAATAAAGTAGTTGTAAACATATGTGGGTTAAATCGCCAGCAGCATATAAAAGCATAGCCAAATCAAAATGGAAGTCCAAAATCGAAACTGGTCAAAAACAGTAAAATAAAGTTATGCTATTTTCATTTGTATGAAATAATTCCGCTTTGCAAACCCTCAGTCTTATCAGAAATTATAATCATGTAAATGCAATTAATATCTTCAATGCATAATTAAAATGGCGTGGGTGCAACGCGCATCTCGGATATTGATTTTCTCGCTGTATGACCCGATGCGATATACCTATTGCCTAGGTACCGGCGGGGTCAACATACGATCAATACTAGTCTATCTAGGTCACCAATTCATAATCCGATTAAACTATAGCTATAAAACTTAATTACTGTGATATATTTATATTTTAGCATTATATAAATCGTAAAAACTACACGGAGTCCAAATTTTAATACCATGTGCTTTTGTTAACTTAATGCCGGGGAAGCGAAAATCTAAGATGGCGCAGCGCACTTACCGATGACCTGCTTTTGTTTAGCCGTTTTAGGTTGTTGCGGCTGAGATTGCTGTTCTGGTTGCTGCTGCTGCTGTTGGGGCTGCGGCTGCGGCGCTTTTTCGGTATCAGCCATGGTGTAATTGGCGAACGGCGATGGTGGCTAGATGGTAAAATCCTCCACGACCTCTCCTCGATGTTCAACCACTCTTCGATCGTTACAAGTGACAATCTGCGGCGTGCTATGCTGGTTAGCTAGAGCACCCAATCACATTAAAATTATCGATATAACAATCAAAATATCGATATGATAATCGAATTAATCGAGTGTTACTCGTTGTATGATATGGTGCTTACTAACAAAAGTATAAGTTCATAATATAGGTCCTAATCCTAATATGGAAAATTTTAATTTATTTTATTCATCCTATTATAATTACACATAATGTATATTGTTTCTTCAATGTCATTCTCAATAGAGAGATCATTTTCATCATTCTCACACGTTCGTACTATAAAAAGAAAGAAAACCTTCAACAGAAAGAACAAGCAAGTTTGGAACTCAGCTCTTAATTGGAAACTATGAACGTATGTTTCTAGTCCATAGATAATCGTAAAGCAAAATTTAAATAAACTATATAAAAACATATTGAAATTTTACCAAATATTTAAAGAGCTGCTGCCGGAAATGTTTGTCCATTTTTGACTTTTTTTAAAAATTTACTAACACGTCTATTGTTATGAAATATCTCAAATTATATATACCTAACATCTTCTGACATCACCTTCTAACAATACGGGATTGATTTCTTCCTGAAAGTTATGTCGTGGCATGGCTTTTCTCGGCTCCTTCATCCTTCCAATTTCCAAATATATATCAGTTTTGCCATGCTTTCATCCGGCATTCGTTCTACATGTCCGAACCAACTAAACATCATCATCATCATCACGAGCCCTTTTGCGTCCCCACTGCAGGAGCTCAGACCTTCCTTATGGATGGTTAAGAACGATGCGCCATGACCCTCCACGCTGGCCCAATACGGATTGGAGGGTATTAACGACTGCAAATGCAGCCGGCACCAACGGCTTAAAATGCCTTCCGAAGCATGGAGTAACTCGAAATAATAATTTTTTGGTCACCCATCCCGTGACCGACCCTAATGTAAGTTGCTTAACGACTAAGATCGCGGGCCGCAGTGCTTATCCACTACGCCACCAAGCTACTCACCTAACTAAACATGTTTATATAATAAATAATAAAAATAGATAATTACAAATTGGAATACAAAAAATAATGTCATTTCGAATTTTGAATATCTGAATAAAAACCATGATGAAATTGACATATAATAAAACTATCAACAAAGATGTCTACTTTCCGGGCCGTGTCCAATAATAAGGAAGTATTAAAAAAACATTAGTTCCCGAAATCAAACTAGATGTCGCTACGGTGCTTGATTTCTCCATGACAAATTTTTCCGGTTGTCTTTCAAGTTTAAAAGTAAATTGGTTTTCAAAACGCAATAAACAACTCATATTCTATTTGTACTTTTTCGTATTTGTATTAATATCTAAGTTTCGAACATTTCAAATTTCAGTTTTTTAACATGTTAGTTAAAAGGAACGGAAACGACTGTCTTTGGTCCATTCGTTTACTGCAAAAATCAATTTCACAGTCGCATCTTGTGGAGGTACCTTTTTAGTGCTTTCGTTTTTTTTAAATATTTCCTATTTCAATAAAAATAGTTTTGTTATACCGATTAATTGAATATCGAATTTAAATCGATATTAATTAATGGTGTGCAACCCTATACAAGACAATATTCTTGCCAGACAGATAAAACCATAGGGGCAGAGTAATTTATAGAACTTTATGCTCTATGGTTTATTACAAACAATAGGTAGTTCTCCAGATCAAAATAGATGTCGCTAAACACAACTAATGTATAGAAACTTGCTCCAAGTCTTCTTGGTGTCAAGCAAATTGTCTCGCTGCGTTTTCGAATGTATAATTTTCAAAATTTAATGTATTCTCTTTCAAAGATAATAATTATGAATATGAACTGTTAATTTATAGAAATATCAAATTATAAAGTCGCAATCGCTTTTAGAACGAAAGCTTTTGCGACTCGAAATAACCGACCTCGAAATATTGTTGGTATCCACTTCTTGTGTTTCGATTTTATTGAAGATTAAATTATTAAATTGTGGTATTATTTCTAGTTTTTCAGTAGTTTCTCTTTATTCCGTTTTTCTTGAAGTCAGTTAATAATAATGAATCTATCAACATTTAGGTATTTGAAGTATTAAATTATGAAATATACTTTGGAAATTAATCTTTAGGGCGTTTGTGCACTACACTGAATTTTTAGGTCCGGCAGTCCAATATGTCAAGCCATATGTAGATAATGCTAGCCTGTGCACGGTTCCGAATTTTATGGTCCGGAATTTTACTTTACTCTATCCCGTACCGGATTTTTCCGCTCCAAGATGGCGGCAATGAAATACGTGTTTACGCTTGTACACCGCTTAGATAAGACTCAATCCATAACATTGATGCACCTCTGATTCCCATTGCTTCAAGTTTTTTAAAAAGCAGCTCATGGACCACAAAGTCGAACGCCTTTGGCAAGTCGAAAAGCAATTCCGTAACTAAAGGCTGTTTTTGTTTAGTGTTGACAGCACTGTGACTAATACGTTGAAAATGGCTAGGGTTATAGATTTCCCTTTTTGGAAACCATACTGCTCATTTGCAATTATATTTCCAACAAAAACTTGTTAATCTTTTTAGCAGACACTTCTCAAATACCTTTGAAAGGATCAGTATCAATGTTATGGGACGATAATGGCCGGATTCTTATCTCATTTCTTATATAACGGTTTAACCAATGACATTTTAATTTATTTGGAAACTTTCCTAAGGAGAATGACATATTTTATATAAGTATATATTATTTCGTTAGTACATTACTTTAGTACTATTTTACATATGCCATCATATCTTTCAGACTAAGTATTGTTTAGAGTCATAATTTATTTTTTTTACTTCTTCGATCGCCATAGGCTCTAAGTAAATTGAGTTGACCATCGATGGCAATTTTGAGTCTAATTTAATAGAATTTAAGGAAGGGCGGTCGCGGGAAGCCGCTGGATGCGGGAGGCGCAGGACCGATCACGTTGGAGGTCTTTGGGCATAGGTCCCCATGCCCAGCAGTGGGTGTCTCTCGGCTGATGAGATGATGATGATGATGAGGGCAGTTTGGCAAAGGACATCGCCGAAAATGGCCCCAATACCATTAAATATTAATATTTCAATAATAATTACTAATTTATTTATTAAATTGGAATTATATATTTATTTGACACGGACAAGCTGCGATCCAAAATTAATATTTAAAAGTACTTTAACAGTAACATTTTATTCGCAAATATTCACATTCAATATATTTAAATTCTATTGAGTCAGATGGATGTAATTTACACGTCAAATCAAGAAGATCATTTATTTTTATTAGATAACCTTTAAATCATCGAGCACAAAAAAATTAAATTAAATTGACCTAAAATAAACTTAAATTTACTAAAAGCGCCATCTCTTGGTGATTTTCCAACTAAAACATAAGGACATAAAAACTGAATATTATACAAACTAAATTCATTAACTGTTGATAATTCACTCTTGTTTATTCAGAAAGATTGATATTCATACGACATATCCTAAAAACTACTTTGTTTCTATTACATTACCTTTATATTTCTCGTAAACATATTAACATCATGTCGTTTATGTATTTAAAGCGCCATCTTTTGATATAAATCATCAAAAAGCTATATGTTTTTTAATTTTAAGCTTATCAATAGGTATATTATTTAACTATTAGAATGATGTATTTGTCTATTGATTGACTTAGAAACTTTTACATATCACAACGAAAAACCGACTTTCTTAAAGTTGAGTTTTTTTTTGCTTCGACAATATAGACATCAATATCATATCATGTACTTAGAGTGCCATATCTCGGTGGTTTTCCAAACAAATGATTACCTCAAAATGAATTATATTTTGCGTGATAATAAGTTCTAAAACTCGGTCGCGGTATAACAAATACATGATGAGAATTAGTTAGTGACACACAATAAAATAAGTATTTTCCTATATTTTTTTGGCTCTGGGGCCACCAATGTATGGACGTTGAGCAATGTTTTTTATATATAATAACAGTCATTGAAAGCATTTGCAATGTCAACGAGGTCTGTCAATATTTCTTAATTGTATACATTATATGTATCTTGTATTTTTGTTTAAAATTTGTCATCGGGAAACACAATATACTCAATGTGTCACGAAATTCATCAAGAGCTGCATTTAAATCTATTTGTTTGGCAACCTCAGATCACGATAGGTTACCTATACATTCTTTCAATTTATGTATACTATAATCACAATAGTCCTGTTTACAAATAAAGTGAGATTTAGGTTTCGCATATTTATGGTAGATGGGATAGCTTAATATTTGTGCTGTATCGTGGTTTCTGATATTACGCAGCATATGATCTTTACATCATACAGGACTTTTTTTTGGGTTGGCGTGTTAATGTGGATAGTCAAATAATAGTTTCTGCACAAATCCGATAGATGGTCACAAATTTATCCTGATTTTAATGTATCGATGTTGATATGACCAGCAACTTATATAATTTTTAATGTCTTTTTTATAGCGTCTATGTATTTCATGCAATCCCAAATCCATTTTTTTAGAAACACTGTAGGGTCAGAGGTCGATGTTCTGTAGACACAGGTTATTAAAATTTTATGAGGCGTAACATTTATACCGCAAACTTCAAAAGCTTTTTGAGCTGCAAGAGATTGCAAGAAATTCAATTTTTCATAAGTCAATCCTCGTCTAATGAGAATACACGTACCTACCCTTTTTTAATGTTCAAAAATGCCGTTGCCAGTTCATAATTAGCGAGCTTTATGTAACTGTGTTGATCATATTGAACAAAAGTTTCCGAAAGACATATAACATCGGGTTCATCAAGTGTAAGTTCTAGTATTCTTGTTTTGCAAGAATACTAGCAATAATTTAATGCATTATTATGAATGACGTAATTTTATTATATTATTTGGCCTCGAAAACATGTTTAATTTTGAGTTACATGGAAGTAGTCAGTTATTAAGTGTTTTTTATTATGGGACGATTATGTTATTTCATGTTTGCTGGAAGTAATACTCCTCGATAGGGAGGCGAAAGTATTAGGGAATTGTACTTTTTTGATATTGCTTTGTAGAATTATTTGGCATTCTGTAGCTGGATTACTCTTTCTTTTTTAATTCAT